CCTGGGCTTGAGTCACCTCTTGCCTGGACTACAAATATGACCAAACAATGGGCATTACACCACATGAGTCTCATTCCAGTTCATCCCACACATCATCACCAGATTCATTTTTTGAATCATCCTGTTCAAAGGTCCTCCTTGGCCAGGCATTTGAAGCTTTCCATATAGTCCAAATGACTAAAATTTGGTTTCCCAACTTTGTTTTCTATTTCTTCCTTTCCTATACCTTGATATACACTCTTTCCCCCTAGGCTCAGTGCACTTTACACTCTCCCCTCTGCTGGAATGGCTTTGGTACTTGTGAGAATTACGTTCAGCTACGAGTGATCAAAAACCCAGAGTAAGAGGCCTTTTGAGTTGGTATCAGATCCCCTTGGACTTGTTTATCATTTCCCATAGCTTCTGGACATGCAGAGGGCCTGGGGCAGGCTTTAGCTGAACTAGTAAAGAAGGCCAAAAGCCCAGTCCATCATCTCAAATTAGGACAAACTCTGAGGTGTAATCTGTGTATCAGAGCTCCCTTTCAGGTTCAGCTTGAGGCTCGCACTTTGCTGAAAGCACACCCTTGTCTTCCTTTCCATCTCTGCTTTGCTTCCCCAAATCCCTTACTTATTCCTCCTGGAGGCATTTAATGGTTTGCTTGGGGGATGCCTGGGTGGCTCAGCAGTTGAGCGTCTGCCTTCGGCTCAGGGCATGATCCTGGCGTCCTGGGATCGAGTCCCGCATTGGGCTCCCTGTGGGGAGCCTGCTTCTGTCTCTGCCTGTGTCTCTGTCTCTCATGAATAAATAAATAAAATCTAAAAAAAAATTAGTTCACTTGAAGTGAAGCCTGGTCTCAGGATCTGTGGCAGGCAGCCCAACCTAAGACATAAATATAACAGTGGCTTAAACAAGATCACAGTGGGTCTCACATGGTCTTTATTTTTATTTTAATATTATTATTACTATTTTTAATGGAAGAGAAGTTTTTAAAATAAGATTTTATTTATATATTTTGAGAGGGAGAGAGAGCAAAGGGAGGGGTGGAGGCAGAGGGGAGAGAGAATCTCCAGCAGACTCCTTGCTGAACACAGAACCCATTGATGGGCTTGATCCCACAACCCTGAAATCATGACCTGAGCTGAAATCAAGAGTCAGATGCTTAACGGACTGAGCCACCCAGGCGCCTCTATTTTATTATTATTATTTTATTTTTTTTGAAAGAGAGAGAGAGAGAGAGCGTGCTTACATGCGTACCAGTGGTGGGGGCAGGAGAGAAAGAATCTCAAGCAGTCTCCATATTCAGTGCAGAGACCCAGGCAGGGCTCCATCTCATGACCCTGAGATCACAACCTGCGCTGAAATCAAAAGTCAGATGCTTAGCTGACTCAGCTACCCAGGCACCCCTTGTATGATCTTTTTTTTTTTTTTTTTTTAGGATTTTATTTATTTATTCATGAGAGACAGAGAGAGAGAGAGAGAGAGAGAGAGAGAGAGAGAGAGAGGCAGGGACCCAGGCAGAGGGAGAAGCAGGCTCCATGCAGGGAGCTGGATGCGGGACTCGATCCTGGTCCTTGTGATCACCACGTGAGCTCAACCGCTGAGCCACCCAGGCATCCCACCTCTTGTATGATCTTGATGATCTTCATGGACTCAGACTGTTTCAACATAATAGTGCAATATTCTCATTGTGTAGCATTCCCTTAGGTCAAAGATAGCTGCTTCAGCTTTTATCATTAAGTTCAGCAGGAGGGAGAGAAAGAAAGGGAGGGGGTGCTCCCCGAATTGAAGAATACGGGGAATGCCTGAAGGTTGAATGCCTCATGTCCGCTATATCCTTTTATCCAGAACTTGGTCAAGAGGCCATGCCTGGCTGAGAGGGAGGCTGGGAAATGTAATCCTTATTCTGAGTGTACAATGGCACAGCTGAAATGTTGGGGCATGATTACTGAGGGAACAGATATTGGGGGACAGCAAATTATCTTAGTTGTTCTCTCCTTATCTCTGCCTGTTCAGTTTCTTTAAAACCCAGTACAAATGCCACTTTCTCCATGGATCTTTCTGTTAAGAAACAAAATTCAGGGATCCCTGGGTGGCGCAGCGGTTTGGCACCTGCCTTTGGCCCAGGGCGCGATCCTGGAGACCCGGAATCGAATCCCACGTCGGGCTCCCGGTGCATGGAGCCTGCTTCTCCCTCTGCCTGTGTCTTTGCCCCCCCCTCTCTGTGACTATCATAAATAAAAAATTAAAAAAAAATTAAAAAAAAAAGAAACAAAATTCATGGGCAGCCCAGGTGGCTCAGCGGTTTAGTGCTGCCTTCAGCTCAGGGCCTTATCCTGGAGAACCTGGATCGAGTCTCACGTCGGGCTCCCTGCATGGAGCCTGCTTCTCCCTCTGCCTGGGTCTCTGCCCCCCCCAGCCCCCCCTGTGTGTGTCTCTCATGGATAAATAAATAAAATCTTAAAAAAAAAAAGAAAATTCAACTGACTAAACTTGAAGATCGAATTGGCTTATTGAAGGATTCCTGAATCAGGCAACATCTCATCTAGCAAGTGGAGGGGAGCTCCACTGAATGAAACAAATGAAGGGGTTTCTCTTTTTTTAATTTTTTTTTAAAGGAAGATCTTTATTTTTTTTTAATTTTTATTTATTTATGATAGTCACAGAGAGAGAGAGAGAGAGAGAGAGAGAGAGACGCAGAGACACAGGCAGAGGGAGAAGCAGGCTCCATGCACTGGGAGCCCGATGTGGGATTCGATCCTGGGTCTCCAGGATCGCGCCCTGGGCCAAAGGTAGGCGCCAAACCGCTGCGCCACCCAGGGATCCCATCTTTTTTTAATTTTTAATAAGATTTTTATTTATTTGAGAGAGAGAGAAAGGGCACGCGAACAGAGGTGGAAGGAGTAGAGGGGGAAACAGAGGGACTAGCAGATTCCTTGCCCAGCAGAGAGTCTGACAATGAGGAGCTGGATCCCAGGACTCCCAGGATCATGACCTGAGCCCAAGGCAGACACTTAACCCACTGAGCCACCCAGGCGCCCCAGAAACCTTAGTTTCAGTTGTGAACTGCCTGTTATACCACATTCTTTAAATTTGCAAGTGTATAAGTACATTTCATAATTTTAGAAGCACATGTCTTTTTAAATTTTCTAATATAGCACTAACACATCTGAATATCTTTTAGTTTCTCTGTAAGAAGAACCCAAAAGTAGATAAATGTATATTCAGCAATTAATGATTTATTATTTCATCTTATTGGGAGATGTACATATTCAATGAAGTTAATTTACCACCTAACTTTAGGTTTTAGGTTAGCAAAGGTTTTAGTTTTCCAAAAAGATTTGAGGAAACTACTTAAGTAGACATAAATATTGCTGCAAAATTCACTTATAAACTTTTATGTTAGCTTACATCTATTTAATTCAATTGTTTTTAAGAATTGCTTAGACTGGGATGCTTGAGTGGTTCAGTGGTTGAGCATCTGCCATTGGCTCAGGACATGATCCCAGGGTCCTGGGATCGAATCCCACGTTGGGCTCCTCATGGGGAGCCTGCTTCTTCCTCTGCCTATGTCTCTGCCTGTTTCTGTGTGTCTCTCATGAATAAATTCTTTTAAAAAAATAATTGCTTAGACTACCTATGAAAACTATTAAATATTAGACAAAATCAGTCATCCTAAGCTATTTATTTTTTGTCAGCAGATCTTATAAGAGATAAAATGAACTTACTTGGTAGTAAACCCAGGTAGAATAAAAGTTTTATATTTAATGTTAACTCTAAAGACATTCCTGTGTCAATTAAACCAATGAACTTAAACTTTCAGTTACCGAAGATTATCCTGGATCATGTGGCCTTGAAAAACATTTGGATTTATTTCCATTTTTCTGAGAATTTTAGAACCCTCAAATCTTACAAGTGCTCACCTTCAAACCAACTAAAGCTCTTTTACAAATTAATTTAGTAATGCCATCAGAGATAGAATAAGATCTCATATGTAAAATGTATACATATAAAGACATACACACAAGGTGCCTGGGTGACTCAGTGGTCACCCTGAGCATCTGTCTTTGGCTCAGGTTGTGATCCTGGGGTCCTGTGATTGAGGCCTGCATTGTGCTCCCTGCTTGAAGCCTGCTTCTTCCTCTGCTTGTGTCTCTACCTTTCTCCCTGTGTCTCTCATGGAAAATTAATCTTAAGGAGGCTGTGCTAGCATTTGGACACTACAGCCCATTTAGAAGTTTCTATTTTGAAAAGTACTCTTTCCGCCTGTTCTCCTTCAGTCTCTGGTAATTGTGGGCTGTGTTTACATTTCACAGACATAATTAAATGTATAACTTTAATGGACGCAGAAAGAAGAGCTCTTTCAAAAATGACTTTGGTTTCCTAAGACCAAGAATTTCCAACTCTTTTGCAATAATCGAGAGAAGTTTTGGGATTTGTAAATAGGTGCATTTTGAATTGCCTCTAGAACTGATTTTTGTTTTACAAAATATTTGTAAGATTAGGATAGTTATTCTCAATTCCTCAAAGATTTGGGTTGTGGGACGTCTGGGTGGCTCAGTGGTTGAGCGTCTGCCTTTGGCTTGGGGCGTGATCCCGGGGTCCCAAGATCGAGTCCCACATCGGGCTCCTTGCATGGAGCCTGCTCCTCCTGTCTCTGTTTCTCTTTCTGCCTCTCTCTGTGTCTCTCATGAATAAGTAAAATCTAAAAAAAAAAAAATTGGGGTTGTAATTCAAATGCTATCATATGTCGATCCTCTCCCCTCCCCCCCACCAATCCAACTACATTATCTTCAATTTGCTTTCTTTCTCTCTGGGTACATCATTTTCATTCTAAATGTTTCTGGCAATCTTGAATAAACCTGCTTGGATCCTGAAAGAGGGTGCAAAGAATATTAGCCAAAAGAAAGAACCAACAACCTACATATCACAAGCAGGCAGGAAGCCAAACCCAGTGACGCAAATAGGAAGGCAATAATTTTTGTTGGTAGAGAAAGGATCAATAAATAGTGGATTTGGATTTGCAAAGGATTTCCACTCTGGACTGGGCACTACAGACAGAAATTCTGAAGAGCTGATTCTGGTAAGAATTTTTACCTTTTGCTGGCTTTTGCCAGTTTTCCAGGGACCCCCTCTATAGGCTCTGGTATCTACCAGCATTTCCCCTTGGCTGTTTAAAGGAATAATGTAGCAGTTTACCTGGAAATCCCTCAATTTGGATGACTCTGGAAGGGGCCCATGTGGGAATCTTCCCTTGAAGATAGATATAGGGGTGACTGTAAGGCCATTAACTTGGCAGATCTTTCTTCCTCCCTTCCTTCCTTCCTTCCTTCCTTCCTTCCTTCCTTCCTTCCTTCCTCTCTTTCTCTTTCTTTCTCTCTCTCTCTTTTTCTTTTCTCTTTCCTTTCTTTTTCTTTTTCTTTTTCTTTTTCTTTTTCTTTTTCTCTTTTCTTTCTTTTCTTTTTTATGGTTGTGCCTGAATGGAAAAACAATTCAGACAAGGATGAGTAGAATGACTCCTCCACTGAGGGACGATGACAACAGTGGGAGTTTTGTCAGTCTTTAGAGTCTTTTGCCTTATGTACCTCTTATATCTTTAATTTTTCTTTAGCCTTGTGCAATGGATCTTTCAATGAAACTATTTTGTTATTTTTGACCTTTTGGAGGCTTCTGCTTACCAATTTCAAGAGGCATTCTCTTTAATTTGGGAACCTTTGCTTTCAAATGCTGTCTTAAATGATGTTGCCTAATTGAAACGGTCCCCATAATGGTCATGATAATTCCACGTTGTTTTAATATTTATTTATTTATTTATTTATTTATTTATTTATTTATTTATTTATAAAGATTTTATTTATTTATTCATGACACACACACACACACACACACACACAGAGGCAGAGACACAGGCAGAGGGAGAAGCAGGCTCCATGCCGGGAGCCCCACGTGGGACTAGATCCCGGGTCTCCAGGGTCACGCCCTGGGCTGAAGGTGGCACTAAACTGCTGAGCCACCCGGGCTGGCCTCCACGTTGTTTTTAGTAACATTTTCCATCTTTCTCAACATCTGCTACTTCCAGGATGATCATTCTTAGCCATAAAATAAGCAGGTGTGCCAGCAAGAACCTTGCAGGGGAGGAGAGTTTTACAGTGTGCCTCACCGCACACACGGAAGCTTTGTTGGGATTGGCAGGAGATTTAGTGTCCCTTTAACGCCTTCCATGACCAGCTTATCCTAATATGAAAGTCTGAGTTAGGTGATGAGTGCTCTAACAGCTCTTAATTACTCAATCCAGGCCCACCACTTTTTGTGGCTTTTAGCCTCCGAGATCCCCACTAGCAGTAGCCTTTATTTACACAAAGCAAGACAAAAAAATATGCAGACAAATCTTAACTCAGCTGCCATAACCAAAGCATGTCATTGAGGACTGGCCAAGAGAAGACCAGGGACACTACCAGAGCATAGACTCCATTATTGTGACTACAGCCTGGAAACGGGGAAAGGGCTAACCCAGCAAACCTCAGTAAGTGAGGGCTCTGGGCTGGAAAAGGGACAGGATTCTAATGTGGAATTATGGACTGGCATTCTGTTGGAGCCTCCTGTCAGTCTACACTGACCTGTTGACCAAGGGCTGGGAAGCCAATGAGAGCAGTAGCTCAAACACAGAGGAGCTGCAACCCAGGGGACTTACCAATGGCCCCCAGGATGAGAAAGACAATGAACTAGAGAGGGTTCTGGGGTGCCACGCCTGTGTTTCTCATTGTCCTCAAATGCTGTCACAAGTTTGCTTCAGATTCCACTGCTGCCACCAATCTGTTAAAATACAAAATGCAGCTGAGTAAATTTGAAGACCTAATTCATCTTATTAAATGGCTCATGAATCAGGTAGCATCCCATCTAGCAAGTAGAAGGGGCTCTTAGGACACAGTGGCAGGTTTTTAGGGAATGAGAGTGGGGCAAGAATGTTATTAATAAAAGAAAAAGATTGTTTCAGGCCAGGTAGCTTTCCCTTAGGGGGAGAGGTGATAGGTCTTATCAAGCAGGTTACCTCAATCTGGGGGCGGATGGAGAGAACCCAACCCATGTGGCAGATTCATTGATGCTGATCAGAAAATGCCTGACTGATCAGTTAAGACTATATTTCTGGGGGAGGTTGAAACTACAAGCAGGTCAGGTATTAAGCCCTGGTTTGGGTTTAAGTGACGCCATTTGGGGGCCTGTGGTTTTCTTTTTAATAGTTCCTTACATTTTTCTGCCTTGCATCCTAGTTATTTACATATGCATTTACCAGAACACTGTATGTATCTTTAAGGTAGCAGGCAAATCTCAATGAAGTTCTGGTTTGAACCTCATAATCCTCCAATTCCTATATTCTGAAGAGTGTGGATTTAGAGTCAGACCAATCTAGCTCAAAGGCAGGCTTATCTTTAAACTAGTTATGCAGTATTTGTTTGTTTCTTCTACAGAGATTTATTGGTGCTCTACCAGGCATTGTTATGGGTGCTGTAGGCATGGCAGAGAATAATACAAATAAGGGCCCCACAGCAGGACATGTTGCACAACCAGACTGCCTGGGCTTGTATCCCAGCTTCACTGCTTACAAGCTGTGTGACCCTGACCAGGTTACTACTCTGCCTCTCTGTTCCTGAGTTTCATTCTTTCAAACGTGGAGATGCTCATAGTGCAACTTTTTAGGATTGTGGTGAGGATTCCATGAGTTTATATTCGTAAAGTGCTTAGAACTGTGCCTGACACAAAATAGGAGCTACATGGGCATTAAGTATCATTATTATTAGCTTGCAGAGCTTCTATCCTGTTAGGCATTGAAAAGTGCTATGAAGGAAATAAAAGATTGGTGAGGATGTGGGGAAAAAGGAATCCTCATGTACTGTTGGTGGAAATGAAAATTGGTGCAACCACTATGAAAAAGTGTGGAATTTCCTTAAAAAATTAAAGATAGGCCTACCCTATGATCAATAATTGCACTACTTGGTATTTACCCAAAGAAGATAAAAACACTAATTTGAAAAGATACACGAACCCTATGTTTATAGTAGCATTATTTACAATAGTCAGGATATGGAAGCAGCCTAAGTGTCCATTGATAGAATAATGGATAAAGAAGAAGTGGTATGTATATCTGTAATGGAATATTAGCCATCAAAAAGTATGAAATCTTGTCATTTGCAACAACATGGATGGAGCTAGAGAGTATAATGCTAAGTGAAAAAAGCCAGTCAGAAAAAGACAAATATCATATGATTTCACTTATGTGGAGTTTAAGAAACAAAACAAGTGAACAACCAAAGGGAAAAAAGAGACAAAAAAAAACCAGACCCTTAAGTACAGAGAACAAACTGGTGGTTGCCAAAGAAGAAGGGGGTGGGAGGTGAAATAGGTAAAGGGGATTAAGATTATACTCACTCATCATGAGGAACACTGGGTGATACATGGAGTTGTTGAGTCATTACACTGTACACCTGAAACCAATATAACATTGTTAATTATACCTAAAAAAAAAAGAATGAAAGGAGGAGAAGAGAATGGGTAAAAAACGTGCTTCTGGAGGCTCTACCTTGTGCCAGATGCTTAGGGAAAGTCTCTATGAGGAAGTAACAGGGGTCATGAAATGTAGGTGGAAGAGTTTTCAAGGAACAGCTAGTGCAAAAGCTATGAAGGTAGGCCTAACTGGCAGGTTTGGGGCAGAAAGAAGCCTGTGGGCCAGAGCATGCAGGCCGAGGGGAGAGCATATGAAGTAGTATGGGAAACACTTGGGAGCCAGATCCTGCAGGGCTTTGCAAATTGGGGAAATAATTTAAGTTTTGATTCTAAGCGCAATGGGAAGACATTGGAGGGCTTTAAGCAGAGGAGATTTCTTTTATTTCTTTTAAAGATTTTATTTATTTACTTGAGAGAAAGAGAGAAAGCACTAGCAGGGGGAGAGGCAGAGAGACAAACAGAATCCCCACTGAGTGTAGAGCCTGACTAGGGGCTCGATCCCAGGACCCTGAGATCATGACTTGAGCTGAAGTCAGAGGCTTAACTGACTGAGCCACCCAGCCACCCCAAAAATATATTTTTTTAAGATTTTATTTATTTGAGAGAGAGAAAGAGCATGTGAGCATAAGCAGCGGGGAGGGGCAGAAGGAGAGGGAGAAGCAGATTCCTCTAGCTGCAGGATAAAGGGAAAATGGTTTATGAGGATTTAGGAGTACTGTGAAGGAGGTCAGTTAGAAGGCTCCAGAGAGGACAGTTGAGACGGGGGGGAGACAGTTGGACACATGTTATGGAGGCAAAATCAACAGGATTTGCTGATAGATTGAATATGGGAGGCAAAGTGAAGAGAAAACTCCAGGGTAACTCTCAAAATTTTGGTTGGAACACCTTCCTGGGATGGGGAGATGTGAAAAGACAGGTGTTAGGGTGGACAGGAATCAAGAGTTCTACTTTGGCTATTTTCAATGGAGCAAATCACTTATGCTGTCTGTTCTTTTGTGATCTAGAGTATGAAAAGGATATTGATGTTAAGAGAACAGATACCTGTGTTGAATTCCCAACTTTGCCTGTGTGACCTTGTGTAAATTCCTTTATTTCTCTGTGCTTCAGTTTTATCACCTGTAAAACAGGGATAATCATAACGCTTACCTCAAATCGTAGTTGTATGAGGATTAAAAGAATTATTATTATTAAAGATTTTATTTATTTATTCATGAGACACACACACACGGAGAGAGAGAGAGAGAGAGAGAGAGAGAGAGAGAGAGAGGCAGAGACACAAGCAGAGGGAGAAGCAGGCTCCATGCAGGGAGCCTGATGTGGGACTTGATCCCGGGTCTCCAGGATCACGCCCTGGGCTGAAGGTGGTGCTAAACTGCTGAGCCACCTGGGCTGCCCAGGATTAAAAGAATTAATGTTTACAAAATGATTAGAATAGTTTCTGGCACATAGTAAAAGTAATAGCACTATTATGGAAATATAAAAACAAATAGAGAAGAATTGAGCCTTATATGAGATAAGCGGCTCTCTTCCATAAGATAATCTTTAACCATGTGGAAGGAAGGAAGACAGACAGATGGACCTGAT